TTCAAGCGCAATGCACTTCTTCGAAGTCGACACCGAATGCAATCGAGAAGTACAGGAAGGATTTCTGGGAGAAGCTTCTACAACTTGAAGCAGAAGGTGTAACGGAGGAATTGCCTTACGTAACAGAACTACACGTCGAGGAACCTGAGGAAGTTGTGAAAAGGCGAATTTCAAAGATGAAGGAGCAAGAGAATGTTCCTGATGAAAAAGTGAGTTCTGTTTATTGCATTTAAACCGTAATGCATTAATGAAAAAATTGTTATAATACTTCATGTATCCATTAGTATTAATTCCCATTATTCACATTTTCGTGAAATATTGAGTGACAGCATACAGTCACGTTAGCATTCATTTGCCGTAGTAATGTAACAAGTCCGTATCAGGAGTACATTATTTATAGTGTGTGTAAATTAATCCGATGGCTCATCGGTTACAAAATCACATGCTGAAACATACCCGCTTCTATTATTTGTACAGCTGTAAAACGCCGATGTTGTCAAAATTACATTTTGAATTTTTGCCGATGGTCTATAATGAATGGTCTATAAACTGACGGCTCGTCGGTTACAAAATCACAGGCTTAAACATACCCGCCCTTATTTGTACCGCTGTAAAACGCCGATGTTGTCAAAATTACATTCCAAATTTTCGCCGATGGTTTATGAATGGTCTATAAACTGACGGCTCGTCGGTTACAAAATCACAGGCTTAAACATACCCGCCCTTATTTGTACCGCTGTAAAACGCCGATGTTGTCACAATTACATTCCAAATTTTCGCCGATGGTTTATAATGAACGAAATACTGTCAAATTAATGAATAATAAAGGTGAATGGACGAGGGGGTTGGGTTGGGTAATGTGTAATAGTATTAATGATTTTATGAATACTGAAATCAACAAACAACATAACAGAATACATACATGAAAAACCGAGTACATGAAATAATCCGACGACACATCGGTTACGATATCCGATACTGAAATGTACCCGATGTTCTCAAACGCTGATTTTCTTTAAATGACAGTTATAAATTTTTGCAAATATTCTTTGAACAAATGTATACTAACAAAGTACGAATTACTAACGGTAACATAAAAGGGGGGGGGGGTTTTCCCTTTTAACATATATTATCTAATATAATTACATTTTTTATGTTAACTTGAGTAATTAATCTTATATTTTGAAACGTATTCAGTGATTATAATATATGATTTAAAACATAGAAACGTAACTGTAAATGTATGTGCATGTTACTGCATGTGCATGTTACTTAATTCAAGTATTTAGAAGAAATACATAGAAAAATGTTTACAGACATGAACATGATGTATTAACAAGACAAAAATGTTTACAGACTTGATTTATTGAACATGATTTATTAACAATTAAAAAAAAAAAAAATAAGAACATAATACAGTAACAAAAGGAAACAATCAGAAATTCATGTCACAACTTTTTTTCAAATTACCCGTAGACACCTTCATTCCCATATCAATCCTCTTGAGCACACCTGCAAGTGAAATTAATGTTGTATGAATTATAATTAACCACCTGCATGCAACACCTGTTTCTCACCGTGTAATGCCGTTTTTATGTTGAATCACGCCAATGCACTGTGTTCCAAAAGCAATGTTAACAAATTTATGTTAACATTTGTGAAATTGGTTTTCCCCGTCAATGGTTATCCTGTCAACAATGACATGATGGTATCAACATAACTATTCAAAGTTTTTTTGAATATATACTCACAAGTGGTCGAAAATAATCAGTTATTAATGATTGCTTCTTCTTCTGTTCCGCACATTTGTGAACCCACATACTAATGGCATTAACATTATCCATTATTGAAGAGTCTGTACACTCATTTTTCAAAAAAATTTGTAACCGAGAAATGCAGGTCTTAGCTTCTTTTGCAGACATAACTGGGCTTGCTTTCTTTTTGATAAATTCTTGGATTAGACAGGTTTCTTCCCAAGACCTGCGTATAACAGCAGGCGTAACTTCATTCCAAGATTTGTAAATCAAACGTTGCGCATCCTTGAATGATATACTTGCTGCATCTTCATTATTCAAACACTTGACAATGTGAGCAACTTCATTCTGCTTGTAGTTTGACTTGAATATATTTATTATTCCTGCATCGAGGGGTTGCAGCATTCCTGTGCAATATGGTGGCAGGAACTCAATTTGTACATTGCTTAAGCGTTTCCCCCTTTTATGATAGGGAGCATTGTCCATTAAAAGCAGTACATGTCTGTTCTCCTTAGCCATTGCTTCATTAAAATCACACATCCACGTTCTGAAAGCCACAAGTGTTGTCCAACCTTTCTTGTTACGTATCCAATTTACGTAATGGTTGTGCTTGAATTTTTTCATGGATTTCACATCTCCTCCTTGCCTGATAACTGCTAGTTTTCTTTTGTCACTTCCATCAGCATTGGTACAAAAGACGATAGTGAGTCTTTCTTTTTTTACGGGCAAGTATATCCTTCTTTCAGACTGTCTTTCCTTCAACGACAAATTCTTATTTTCCAGACGTTTTAAACACCTTCTTCCTTGCTTGTAATTTTCATCACGCAATCCGTAGTACAGGCAACTTTCGTCAACATTGTAGATATTTTCCAAGTCGTATGAGGACATTTTTTCACTAAGATCTCTGCACCCTTCTGACACAGTTTGCAAGTGTACTTCTGATGATGAATGCTTTCTCTTCCGAATTGAAATACCGTTCTGTTTCTTGTACGTTGTCAACCATGAAATATTAAATGTATCCCTTTCTATGTTCCTATCTTCACACATTTTCTTCGCCTGTTCCAGTATGACAGAGTCACTCACGAATTCATGCTTAACAAAGACATGTTTTATCCAGGTTTTCAAGTGCTCCTCGACTTCTTGGCGTTTTTCACGATCATTAACTTTCGCTAAACATTCTTTCCTCTTCGCTTCATCACCCACAATGTCCTTCAAGCTTTGGGTTGAGACACTTGTTTTCCACACCACTGAAAAGTGCCTGGACATTTGCAGTAAGCTAACTTTCGGGAACTTTTGTCTATACGCACACACTTCTTCCTGTTGCTTTTGGGATAGCAAAAAATTTTGCACCATTTTTGACTTCGGAAATATTCTGCAGCAAGTGTGACACAGGCAGTGTGGCACCCAATGCTAGACTGAATATGTTTTTACGTAAAAGGGCCGATATTTTGAGAGAATGTGTGTGTTGGTGATTCACAGAAATTTGGTCTTTTGCCCAAGTTGCGAGTAAGGTAATGGGTGATTTACAGTAACTGACTTGCTTGGGATTTTGGATTCATGCAGGGAGAGTGACTGGGTGCATGACTATCCCTGTTTACCTAATGTTTCTTGTAGAAGAGTGTTCTACTTGGAAATGGGACAACTTTGCTTTACCCTGAATACTTGGAAATGAAAAAGAATATTCCTTTTTAAAAATTTGAGGCAAGAAAGTAAGTGCATTGAGCAATTGCAAATCGCCTTTAACATTAAGTTAATTTAGGGAATGTAATGTATTAAGTTATTACACAGGTAGTTCCTTTTACACCACACAAATCAGTAAACTGAAATTATTATAATTCTCGGTTTATTTGAAATATTTATAATGTATAAGTGCAGGTAAAATTAAATGCCGATGTGGTGTCGGCGATGCATCACGTGCATCTTTTTATTCTTCATGCAAGCCCACATTTTGCCGATGTTGAAATGCAGTCTTCCATGCAGTGCCGATGTGTCATTGGCAAAAGCCAATTAGTTGGCCACATATTGACAATAAGTTGAAAAGTTAATTGATAAACATAAATGTTATTGTGTATATTTTCCGGAATTTCATTAAAATGTTTATTTTCTTATTCATTATAGGATAGGTACAAGGTGGATCTTTCTGTAATGCATGGAAACCGACTCCCACTTTTGCTGACTTCATTGAAAGGAAGAACGTGGTTCCCGGGGATAACGTCACCATTCTACTTCTTGGGAGCCAGGGGTACAGCATTTGCCATGCATTGTGAAGACATGGACTTGGTTTCAATCAACCTAAGCCTCGGAGGTTACCCAAAAATTTGGTGCGTTACCTTACCGAAAGTTAGTAAATAGTATAACTTTAAACATCTCATTTCGTACAATAGGTACGGGATTCCAATGGAACACTTGGCGCAGTACGAAGCAGTACTGAAACTTCATCTTGGTGCAGGTGCTTGTGATGTGCCAGCAAGACACAAGCACTTTTTATTTGCGGAGGGTTTCCTGCACAAATACGGGATCAAACCTGTAGTTGCTGTCCAGGATCCTTGGGAAATGATAGTAACATTTCCTAAGGGACATCATGGTGGCTTCAACACAGGCTTCAACTGGAATGTTGCCGTAAACTTTGCCCCTGAATTTTGGGTTCATTACGGAATAGCAGCTGTGAACTGCTCTTGTGAGTGAGTACAATGTAATTTTATTTCTCTCATGATTCACTCAAAACGCAAATGTCAAAGTAGAATTTAATCCACATTTTTTCAACATGCTAATTTACAGTAATGCATAAACACTTATTCCCTTTCATTTATTTGCTCATCATTACTTGCCATGCTTGAATATCATCGGCGTTATTAAATGAAATTACATCTACCCCGACATAGCATTGGCCAAATATTAAGCATGTAACATCAATATCGCCGATGTGGTATCGGCAAAGTAACATGTGTCCCAAGGACTGAAAAAACAGTTAAGTCTATTTCATTGCAAAAGTACAGCCGTATATATTTAATAAACAGGTAAACAGCTATTATTAAATAGTCCCCCATTTCCTTAAATTAAGAAAAAAATTAACGAATCACTTTATGTTTTCAGAACTGAGGTAAACATTCGATTTTCAATGGAACCTTTTGTTCGGCATTTACGACCATCTATGTACAAAGACTGGCTGTTTGGAAAGATGACCCAAACCCCTGATGAGTGGACGCAAAGACGGGATTTGAGAGCGTGTGGGCTGAGTAACAAACATGTTAAAACCCCAACGCTCAGTGATTTGAACCTCACAAAAATGTAAGTGTAACATGTTTTATTTCAAAATCTGAAAAGACATGTTATGAAAAGATAAATGAAGAATTTTTATAAAATACAAATTTAATACCTGCTTAATTAAGTACTGCAACTTTTCTATCCATCAGACCAAGAACCAAAGCTGCCTGGGCATTAGCTGAGGACGTTTCACCGACAGAGGTGCATCTACTACATTTGCTACAGGAGAGAATCAAGTTCTTGGATGGAAAGGTCACAGATCTGTTGGGTCGTGGGTGAGTTATACATGAATGAACAAAGTCAAAATCAAATACATTGAATGTGAACAATTCCTGTTTTTTTCAGGCAGAACAAACCAGACACAGTATCCTGTGATCTCCTAGATGTCATTCAGGAAGAAGCAGAAAATCGGATCATACGGCGACTACAGGGTGCAACGTTGAAAGTGAAGCGGAAATCAAAAAAGAGAAGACGTCAAAGTGAAGAATCAACTGAAATCGAAGAAATCAGTATTTCAAATTACATTTTGAAAGAAATGGGGTTAATTGAAGTGTATGATAGTAAAACATGTTCTGAAAGGGCTAAGGCAGTGATGGAGAGAGAAGAGGGAAGTGTCGACAATGATGTCGTAGTATTGTTGGAGGATTAGGTTACTTCAATGAAAAAGCTTCGATCTTTACTTATGTTGTTAATACGTTGTGACTTTTTTCAATGGCTCTGGTTTAGTTATTATTTGATTTTGAATAAAATGTTCTGGAATACATTTTAATATTGACTTGTACAACTTTAATAAATTCTTGAAGTGCGTACCAATTAGACGAGATTATTTTCGTCATGTATTAATTGTTTGTATTCTTCCTTCTCCTTTCAGAAAAGTGATTTTAAAACCGCGGATACAATGACAACAGATATTCCAACATTCCCTTTGGAAGAGAGGCTACAAATCAGTGAAATAAATGAAATGCCTCAAGTGTTCTCCGCGTTGAAAGACCTCATTAATTTGTTTCGTCACACGGTGATGACGGCGGGTGTTGTACCAAAAATGAGTGATGCAAAGGAATTTGAAACCCTCAACAAAGAGTTGCAGTTAAATGAAGACATGCTACAAGAGTTTCAATTGGTTCCAGAAGATCAAGCAGGGAGGAGAGGTGTGATGCTTTGCAATAATATCCTATACCTCATACAGAAGTACAGTGAGTATGGAAAATCAAATTGAGAAATGAAGACATGCTACAAGAGTTTCAATTGGTTCCACAAGATCAAGCAGGGAGGAGAGGTGTGATGCTTTGCAATAATATCCTATACCTCATACAGAAGTACAGTGAGTATGGAAAATCAAATTGAGAAATAAAAATGAAGGACGAAAAAATTAACTTTTACTTATTGTATAGATTTGACAGAACTTCGCCGGGAATGCGTGAATATAGTCAAAGTTGAACAAGATAATGAGCCACGGACGGAAGATGACATCGACACAGAAGTCGTCAGCGTAGACTCAATGGAAGGAATTGTTGAAGAAGAGACCGTGCTTAACGGAATTTCTTCAGAAAGTGTCCAGGATGTGCCAGCGTCAGAACCACATGAAGATGTTCACCGGCTGTTTAAAATCGGAAGGGAAGCATCCAAGGAAAAAGGTGAGAAATGTAAATTGTCATGTACATTATTGTGTAATACTTTAATGTTTATCACACCATTCATTTAGATAATATCGTGATTAATGAAGGGAACGTCAATAACCCAGCAACCTCGTCAGAAGCATTACAGGAGGTTCGGGACGTACAATTGCTAGACGGACATTCAACTTCATCAAGCAAAGGGATTTCATTTGCATATAAGCAGTATTAATTATTCTTCAAGAGTTTAACTGTTATACAAGCTGCGTTAAAGTTTGTAACTTTTATTCTAATTTTATAAACGTCAATTTAAACCACCGATGTACATTGGTGGTTTAAATACTACATCGGCAATGAATGTACTTAACACCGCAATACTACATCAGCAATGAATGTACTTAACACCGACGTAAGTCGGTGTTAAGTAATGATCATCGGCGTTAATATATACAGGAACTGGTTAAGTTGCTTTACAAGTTATTTTTATAAAATTATTGTATACTTGCAGAATGTTATGAAGCTGCAGTTACTGAACATATCATTACTACTTCCTCGGCTTCTAAGAAAAAGTCGACGTTGAAATGTACAGAAATTCTCACCCAGTCAGGTTAGGAACAGGCAGAGAATTTATCAGGACTTTTACATAAATTATTATTTTTTAGATCTCCGTGAAAGTGTTCCGGTCAGAAACGTGATGGATGGTGAAGAACGTAAGGGGAAGAAGAAATTAAAAAGTGAAATCAGCGACAAGTGCAAATCCGCGAAGGGAAATGGTAAGCGTTTACAGGTTGCATTACATATGGTATAATGTAATAAGATGTAGTTACAGTAAAATCATGAATGAGTCAATTATGATGGAATCCATGTATTTGAATGGGTTGGGAGCGGATTAAACTGTTTAAACCTTTAATTTTTTGTGGACGTTGCAGATTTACGCGAGGATTTATTCACGGAATTTACACCACTGAGATACACAACGGAGAAGAAGAAACCTACTGCATCAACAAAGTTTAACATGCCTTTGTCTGAAGGTGGTACAAGTAGTAATTTTTTTTTAAGTATTGATAAATACAGATTTATTGATAAATACACAGTATATCATAAGTCAAATTCAATTAATCACAAAGTTCACAATTAATTCCTAATTATAACTGAATATACTTTTTGTGCGTTTAAAGATGCAACATCATTGGGTGCAACGGAGAAAAGGAAAAAAGGTTTATTGCAACGGAGAAAAAAGAAGTATTTCATGGAAAAAGAATCACCGGCTACCACTTCAACAGTTAGACGAGAAGAAGGTGACTAGAATGATGCAAATGAATACAATAAACGACATGCACAATTAATGTAATAATCGTAACACATTACATGCATTTTCCCAGGTACGTTAGCTGATTGTGGCACCGCGAAATCCAGGACACAACCTTTGGTTACATCACACAATTACAAAGGTTAGTTTCAGGCCGTTCTATCTTAATGAAGTGCAAGTAATACGCATAAGTTATACGCATAGAAAAAACAAGTGTAGGGATATTCATGATAACCTTGTTCCTTTAAATTTTTTTCTAAATGAAAGATGCTGAAGCAAAAAGTCCTCGTGAAAAAGTCTCTGAGAGGGAAGCGGACATCATAATGCATGAAGAGCCTTTTGTACAGGATTCACCGGATACTGCTGCAGATGAGATATTTTTTTCTAAATGAAAGATGCTGAAGCAACAAGTCCTCGTGAAAAAGTCTCTGAGAGGGAAGCTGACATCATAATGCATGAAGAGCCTTTTGTACAGGATTCACCGGATACTGCTGCAGATGAGAGTCCTTCTCCATCACCAAGGCCAAAAGGAATAAAAGGTGCATTACACACATGTAACTCCACATGTTTCCATGCGTTTCTTATAATTGAAGTTTTCATCGTTTTGTCCATTGTCCATACATCCATTATGTCCATTGTTTTGTCCATTTCCTACTTTCTTATAGATATCCCTGGTTGTTCAAATGACTTCAGTCAAAGTGATGATGTTGCCATCAAAACAAGGGCCGTCACTAATTCCCGTATGAATTTGAGGTCGAAAGGTGTGTTCTGCAATAAGTAATATAATTAATATACCAAAGGTATAATGTTTTGCATGCGTTTCATTTTAAGGGATGAAGAGAAAGCGAGTAATGTCAGACACGGATACATTGGAAGGTAGTGATGATTCTGATGCCAACGCCAAAGAAATCAACATACTAAAAGACAAGATCAACACAAGCACTCTTGGTGAGAATATATTTCAATAACGTTTTCACAACGAAGATTGTTAAATGTTGTTTGGTATAATTGAAATTCTTTGCGTAATAAGGATACAGTTATATACTTAACATGCATAGAACCCGATCATACATCGGTTACGTAACAATACACCAAACATATGTTGGGTAAATGTGAATATGGATGTTGATAATGTATTGGGCTCTTTGCATTACATTAATTGCATGCTATTATTTCTTGGTTTTTTATAAGTGTGTATTAATTAATGAAATATTTTTATCACAGTTATATGGAGAAATATGTAAAGTTAACTTTAATAAAACTCGATCATACATCGGTTTTGTAAAAATACACCGATTGTTGGTCGGCTATATGTCATGAAGCATGTCGATAATATATTGGGCTCATTTCATAACATTAATTGCATGTTTTTCCTAGGTTGTAAGAAATGTGCGGATTTTGACAAACTGGGTCAATTTGTGTACAAAAACCAACAAACGGATTCACGCGTACTGCGCAGTTGTTTGGAAATACTCCTGCAGAAACC